TAACTTATTTCCCCCTTAACCTACAACTTACTACTTTAAACTCTTTTAAAAATACATAATATAGAGACGGTTAGGTAGATGACCCTCAGACCAGTTTACCCGTTTTTGATAAACTGAAAAATGAGACTACAAATCGTTGATGTTGTCTAGCAACTACTTGGGAATCAAATAAAATTCTGAGACTGCAATTAAAGTCCCATTGAGCAGTCTGTTTATATGCATGAAGAAAACATTCACATCTTCTAATTATGGAATTTGTAATTGCAGAATTAAAATCACATTGTTCGATCAAATTTGCATACTTCAGCTCACTCGTCTTTCTTCAGACTCTTAAGCGTATCACTCATGCCTTTTTGTTCTCGTTAAGCCCGCTCCCTGGAACACTGTGCCTCCCAGATTTTTGCATACTCGGATGTTGCTTTTTATTCAAGTCGTTATGTCCTCAGAGGCCCTCCATGACCATTCAACTTAAAGTAGCCTCTCTAGTATGGCTAGCACAACACTTAAATTCTTATTTGTTGTTTGACTGCTTACCTGTGTCTGTGTTGCAGAATATGTCCATGAGAACGGAGAACTTACTTGCCTCTTGCACATCTGTAGACCCAGCCCCTAGACTAGGGTCTATAGTGACATGCTATCTACCAGCAAATATTTAATGAATGAATAAGCACCATGGGCTTTGTCCTACATCATCGAACTGTCTGTGTAAACATTAATCTTAAAACTCAACAACAACAGTCCCAATTCAGAAATGGGCAAAGGGCTTGAATAGACATTTCTTCAAAAGCTATAAATGGCAAATAAGAACATTAAAAGCTGTTCAGCATCATTAATCATTAAGAAAGTGCAAATCAAAACCACAGTGATGTAATTATATTTAAAAATATAGCCAGTGTTAATGAAGATGGTGAAATATTGGAACCTTTGTGCATTACTGGTAAAATGTAAACTGGTGTACCTAGGAACCGCATAGCTATTCCTTAAAAAATTAAACACAGATTTTCCATCTAATCCAACAATTTAGCTTCTAGGGATATACCCAAAAGAATGGGAAACTAGAGACCAAATAAGTATTTGTACACTAGTGTTCATAGCAGTATTATTGAGTTTGTCAAAAGTAGAAACAATAAAAATGACCACTGATGGATAAGTAAATAGACAGAATGTGTTCTATATCTACAGTAGATTATTATTCAACCTTAAAAAAAAGGATAAAATTTTGATGCTTGGTGTAAATTAACCTTGAAAATATTCTGAGTGAAGTAAGCCAGATACAGAAAGACAAATATTGTGTGATTCTACTTGCAGGAGGCCCCTATAAGATGTCAACTAGAGAAAAAGTGGAGTAGTCCTTACCTGTAGCTGGGTCAAGGCATAATGGGGAGTTAATTATTTCATGGAGACAGAGTTTGGGGTTCTAGAGATGGGGGTGAGCTTGTTCAGAGTATACTGTACATATATAAGGAATTATCACAATCAGTGTCCCCTTAGTATTAATGTATGCTAATTCAAAATTATAATAAAACTATTTTTAAAAGTTCTGGAGGTGAATAGTGATGATGATTGCACAACAGTGTAAAATGTACTAAATGCCACTGGATCGCACTTGAAAATGGTTAAAATGGTAACATGTATAGCTTGCTATCATAAAAAGCTGAAAAAAATTAATAGCTTCTTAATATCCAACATGTAAGTGCACTAAACTTTTAAAAATCATTTCTGCTGTCATCTTTTTCTGTGGGCTTGATGGGTGGAGAGGGGTACATTTTTGTTGGAAATAAAGTGATGATAAACTGCAAATATATTAATGTCATATGTAAAATTGTTAGATCATAGGGTATATATAGATGTTGTAGTTTCTTGGTTTCCTTGTGCCAAATTAATGTCCAGAAAGATGTGTTATTTTACCTTTGAACAGTCCTTACGTATGTATGTATTGAGAGACAAGGTCTTGCTACTTAGTCTGGACTGGCTGTGAACACAGCAGTCTTTTTGTCTTAGCCTCCCAAGTGCTGGGATTATAGGTATGTTCCATTTCTGGCTGCCCTAGACCTTTTATTTTGAGTAAAGCTTCAACCTGAAATTTTTTTATTATTACTGTTGTACTGGGGATACACTGTGTCATTTACAAAAGTTCTTACAATATATCATAATTGAATTCATCCCTTCCATCATTCTGAATCTGAAATTTTATGTAGGAAAAATGTATACTCACCCATACATTAATTCTCACTTCTTTACATAATATAGGTGTGATTTACTGTATTTCTTTAGGGCATTCACCTCACTTTTTTGTTAGAGTTTTAGAATCAGCACAGAAAAATACGATTAAGTAGGACAAGTTTGCCTAATTGTTCTTTTAATAATTATACGTATACGTACACGTATTTATAGGTTACAGTAAATTTAGACACGTATATATATTATATCATGCTCACTTAGGGTAACATATCCATCACCTCAGATATTTATCATTTCATGTGTTGAGAACATTTAAAATACTCTCTTGAAGCTATTCTAAAATAAATATTTTTAACTGTAGTTATCTCGTAATATAATGAAACACTAGAACCTTATTCCTCCTGTCTCACTGTAACTCAGTGCCAGCCCTCGCCCAGTCCAGCCTCTGGTAACCACTGTTTTGCTCTCCACTGCCGTGAGCCTGACTTTCTTGAGCTTCCACTTAAAAGTCAGTTTATATACTATTTGTCTCTTTGGGCCTGGATTAACATTAAAAAATACCCTCTAGTTTCATCTATTCTTTTGCAAATGAAAGAATATCCTGGTTTCTTTTAGGGTATTCTACTTATATACCACATTTTTAACAGCTCAGTTGTCCTTTAGTGGGCACAAGTTATTTCCATATCCTGGCTATTGTTAACAAAGCTGTAATGAACATGGGAGTGCAGATGTCTGTTTGGCATACTGATTGGGTATAAGCTTAAGAGTGGAATTCCTGGATCTTGCCTAGTTTTTGATACAAAATATTGTGATACATATTATTGTGCTGTCACACTGTCAGGTGATGTTGATGGTGGTGTAATGACTTTGTTTTATATTTAAAATATAAAATGATCTTAAAATAAAATAGAAGAGCATTGTTATTCCAGGAGGGCAAGCTACCTTATAAATCCTGTTTTCTCTTTAACATTGATACCTTAAACTTAGCTAACAAATTGTTTCCTTATTCTTTCCTCCTGAAACTTGGGGTTTTGCCAATCAATCACAGAAATTCACTTCTAAGGAATCAGAAGTCAATTGTAATCAGTTCTAATTGCTCTGTTCTAGAGATGGGAGGAAATTTAAGCATGAAACAATGTAGATTTTTTGGCATATTCAGTAGAAAATGGAGCTGTAGTTAAAAATCACTTGTAACCATCTTGCCAAGAATCTTATAAGGTTTTTTTCCAGCATGTTGGGAGGTGACACAAAATATCTGTATTTATTTTAAGCATCACATTCCCATATATGGTTTCATTGTAGGGCTTTGCCAAAAAAAAAAAAATACTCTTAAAATCATGTTCACAGATATTGAGCCAAGCCCTAAAATGTATGAGGAATTTAAAGTTGTTTTAGATATTTTATCATATTACCTTTGGTGAATAATTCTAGAACAGAGGTCACATGATTTTGAATATGAAAAGCCATCATAACATCTTGAAGATTCCTAAAGTTAGTTATGCCAGAAAATAACAGGTAACAAAAGGAGTCCTGTTGTACATAATGGTCTCATTAGGAATTAGACCTCTAGTTTTGAACTTGTGTTTGAAGTTCTTTTTTTCTTTAACAAAAGTTTTCATGGTGTCTTATTTTTATTACCAATAGTCAAAACTCTGTCGGCCTTTTATTTAGACTACTTTCTAATTTTAATTTCATGTACTTAATAATTTGGTGAGACATTCTGTACTTATAATTACTTAATAGAAATAAGACACTTTTTAAAATAACTGATCCAGCCAAGATTCAGATCTTAAGGCTAAACTTGAAAAATAGCATACAAAAAAATTATCTCCCTCAAAACTAATGTTAACAAAGTTGACAGAAGATACACTTGTGCAGCAGCTCGAAAGATGAAAATAGTCCATTCCTAGCACAGACCAAATTACAATGGAGTTATATGTCTGAAAGTGTTCAAAGCTGTAAAATATACAAAAGGATCCCCTCCTTCTGGATTTGGACTTGGGCTACTCACTCTCATTCAGAAAGCACATGTCAGAGCAGGGTAGAGGAGGCAAATAGGCCATATTTTTATTAAATAATGACATGACTAACTCCACACCTGATGTACAAAATGGAACATTTTAACGTTTGGGAGTATCAGCAAGCAGGAAGCTAAAAGAAAGGTTAGGTCTTGAGGCAAGGTAAAGAATAATTTATGGATGGAACTTCACTTCAGAAAATTGTTATTGCCAACTAAGAATAGGTGGACTTTGCTCATCTTTTAGGTAGTCATTTAGAAAATGTTAAAGTGGGAAAAAGAACGTAATACTTTCTTTGATGGTCAGTTGGAAAAGATGTTCCCTTGCAAGAGGCCTCAAAGTTACTAATACTCACCATACTTAAGAACTTAATTCAGGGCTGTGCTTCTAGGTAAATGCATCTTTGAGTTTCAAAATGACTTTTAAAAACTCACATTTTTTGTACAAATTTTGCTTGGGAATAAATCTTAAAACATTTTTTTCTGAGTCAGGGTTCAGCATACATTTGCTGTCGAAGGGCCACATAGTAAACATTTCAGTCTTTTCAGGATATAGAGTCTTTGTCACAACTACTCTGTGGTTTGATGGGAAAGTGGTCATGGACAATGCACAAATGAATGACCATGGCTGTGGCCAGATTAAGTGTTATACAAAAATAGGAAGCAGGTCAGATTTAGCTGTAGGGCTTGGTTTGCCAACCTCTGCACTGCATAGAAAAATATGAAGCTTCCCTGTGTATTTTAGTCTTATTTTTATGCCCTGCAATCTTTTTATACAAATTCTGAACGTTATTCTATTTAGTTACTTCACGGAAACCAAGGGAAGATGAAAAAGATGGCCAGGCATATAAATTTGTGTCGCGGTCAGAGATGGAAGCAGATATTAAAGCTGGAAAGTACTTGGAGCATGGAGAGTATGAAGGGAACCTATATGGAACCAAGATGGACTCTATTCTGGAGGTCGTCCAAACTGGGAGGACATGCATCTTAGACGTCAATCCACAAGTGAGTGAGCTGCATGGGTTCCAAAGCCATTTTTAAAGTTTTATTCCCTAGGGTGTTTTTACTTGTGTTTGTATAGATAGGTAGGAGGTAGGAGTGTTTGTTCTGACAGGGAGGGAAGGTAGCACTGTTCCTTTTAACTTTGGGTGCTCAGAGAGCCTCATTATGCATCCATAGCTAGTTAAGTAAGCTTCCCATCAATTAGCCAGCAAGGCCTTGGGAAGCAGTAGAAACCATGGGATTACATCTGTGTAAGTTTAGTGTTTGTTCACCTGCTCACATAACACATGAATGTATGGATTAGGAAATGTAAAATTAAAATGCAAATAAGACTGCGCGCGCGCACACACACACACACACACACACAGACAGCATGCATTTCATTGTTGTTGTTCCCTGTCTGTCTTACCCCTTCCTGCTTCCTACAGTCAGCATCACCTCACTTCCCTACTCAGAGATAATATTAATAGTGTAGTATGTATCTTTCTAGTCATTTTAGTATAGCTTAAATACAAATACATGTGTGTGTGTGTGTGTGTCTGTTGCTTTTTACATAAATGGAAAGTTACATACAGATTATCTTTTTTATTAAACAATGTTCATGAAGATCTTTTCATGTCAGGCTTTTTTTTGGGGGGGGGTTCTTTGTGTGTGTATGTGTGTGCGCACGCGTTACTGAGAGTTGAAGTCAGGGCCTTGCACTTGCTAGGTAGGCATCCTGCCACTTGAGGTCATGTGCCACCAGTCCTCATGTCAGTTTCTATAGAGCTATTTTTGTTCTTTATAGTTGGCGCATAGTATTTTGTAGTATGGATATATAATAGTTTCCTTAATCTGCACTGAAGTTATTTTTACTTTTTCAATATTAACAGAATTCGATAATTAACAGCACTGATATTATTCTTAATGATCACTTTTATACTTTCCATTGTTCAAGAAGAACAAAGAGGCAGAAGACTTAGTTCATGACGAAATAAATGAATCACTGTTTTAGGAAAGTACTATATGGAATAAAAGGATAGGGACAGGTAGTAAATTATATCCTTAATCCTTGGGAAGAGAGCAGATAGACTTTGATTTACACTAAAGGGAAGCATACCTTAAGTTCTAGTATTCTATAAGTTGGTGAGTAATTATGCTTCTGCACAGGCACTGAAGGTGTTGAGGACCTCAGAGTTCATGCCCTATGTGGTATTTATTGCTGCTCCGGAGCTGGAGACATTACGCGCCATGCACAAGGCCGTGGTGGACGCAGGGATCACCACCAAGCTTTTGACAGTAAGCACTTCTCTTCAGGTTAATGATTCTATTTTCCCTAATTTTTTCCCTCATTTTTTCCCTCTTCCTTTTCTCTTGAGTATGTTTAATTCTAGCTAATCATATTTCAAGGTATTACAGAATAAAAATTTACTCGAACCTAGTGAGAATTTGGGACAGTATTGGTTTTATTTGAAAATCATTTTTTATTCTAAAACAAAAGTTCTCTTGTCCTAGAAACATGAATATTAGTCCATCCCTCTCATTTTGCTATTGAAGAAGTTTAGCCCCACAACTGTTAACAAACATGTTAATCATATGACTTTTTACTGGTAGAGTTAGGTATTCTGTTGTTTAGTTTCTGTTACATGTTTTCTCTTTCTCCCTCCCTTCTTTTTCATAATATGGAAAATTTAAGATATATTTAAAAGGGGAAAATGAACCCTCAAGTGCCAACCTCTCAGCTTTAATAATACCTGGCCGTTCTTGTTTCAGTTAGACCTATCCCTGCTTCCTCACCTCGAATTATTTTGAAGCACACCTTTGATATGATCTCATCCATAATACTTTTATGTTTGTCTCTAAAAGATAAGGACTTTGAAACACATGATCATAACACTAAATTAATACACAGATTAAACAGTATCTTATATATTCGATCTGCATTTGGATTTCTCCTGACTTCAAGTTTTTGTAGTTGATTTGATCAAATCAGTATCCGAACAAGAACAACTCACGGCATTTATTTAGTGTCTCCTAAATCTGTTTGTTTTTTCAGTTTAATGGAGGTATAATTGACATACAATTATCTGTACATGTCTAAAAGTGTCCAGTTTGATAAGTTTGGACATATAGTTATACTCATGAAACCATCCTAACCAAAATAATGTGTCTGCCACCTTCATACTTGTCCCTTGCTCCTTTGTAACCACGCCCACCTCTTCTCACATAGCTGATAATATGCCCTGAATTCAGGGAATATTAGTCCTTTTAGTTCTCTGTCAACTTGCAACTTTCTAAATATATGAAATATAGTTATTATAAGCATTTAATACCATCCTCTACTAATTCAAACATTTGAGTCAATTCTGATTGAATGATTTTTCTAATGGGTCGCACTTTCCTGCTTCTTTGCAGTTCTGGTAATTTTTTTTTTTTTTTTTTGATGCCAGGCATTATGAGTTTTATTCTGAGTTTGGGTTATTTGGAAATTGTTTGCTTTTTCAGATCTTGCTTTTTAAATTTATGATGTGTAAGACCTGAGCAGTTCTCATTTCAGGGTCCATTATTCCTCACTATTGGGGAAGACCCATTTGGTACTCTTTCACATGGCCTGGAAATCATGAGGCTTTCTGTTCTGGGGGGAGCAAGTACTGTATTACTGGCTCCATGTTAATATTGCTAGACCTTTTGGGGTTATTTTGTTTGCTTTTTGTTTTTCCAGGAGATAGGGCTTGGGTAGTTAACACATGCACCAACTGGTGCTCAGCAAACCTCTGAAGATCTCTGTGTGCTGTTTTTCACCTCTGGTTTCTCTCTTGCAAACTTGGCCACCTTAGGTTCCTCCTGGGCTCTCCCTTCCCTGGAAAGTCTTTCAAGGCAGCAAACTGGAGGAGCCACGGGGCTTGCTTCATTTGTTTTGGATCTTTTGTGATCTGTGTCTTTCACTGCCTGGTGTACAGTCTTTCAAACTATTGTTTCACATGTTTTGTCTGTATTTTAGTTGTCAGGTGCAGTGTTAGTCTAGTTCTTGTTACTCCACCTTGGCTGAAAGTCGATGTCCCTTTTCAGTCTCTCTTAATGTATAACTTTTCACTGCCTGCCCCCGTCCTCTCTTTCAACATTGTAATTTATTTGTTTAAAAAAAATTGGATGATTTATCCTATAGAGTGTTCCTCAGTCTGTATTTTTTCCATTCTGTCCATCCTGTGTCATTGTCCTCTATCTCCACATTTCCTGTAAACTGACAGGTAGATTGAGAGGCCTGATCAGGTGCGTATTCAAGTTGGTTGGTTGGTTCATGCAAGAACAATTCGTAAGTAGTTATTTGTTGTTTTACTACATCATGAGGCATATGTCAGGTTGTCTCTCTTTCTTGTGATATAGTTAAACAATAGGTTCAGACATTGTCATCCTGATCTATAAAGCTCCCTCAGTTCACTTTTCACGTAATGATTTTAGCAAGGTTTTGATCTTTGCTTGTATTAAGTATTTAAGTGTGGCAAGGAATTATATTCTAAATTTGTTGTTCCTTCTGAATTTAAAAACTGGAGCACTTTTAGAAAAGAACTTTTCCTCACTAACTTGTTGTTTACTCTGAGCTACAGTTCATATAGGAAAGGCCTGATACTGTCCTTTTATAGATCACCTTTCAGAATAATAGATTTGTTCCCTCAGAGCCTCTAGGTGATCAAATGAAGCTAGTTTTCTTTGTTTTTTGTTTAATGAATGCATGAGTTCAAACTTGTTTGACATGCTTTACTGTATTGCAGTTATTATGCTTGTTCATATTCAGATCACCCTATTTCTGACCAATAGGAACATAACTTAGTTGGTGCTTGAGACCTTTTTTCATGAGCCTAATAGTCTTGGAACGCTTCCTTGCTACCTGGTGTGAAGATGTTCGTGTTCATCTTGTATATTTCCTTTCCAGGCCAGGAATCACGCATTTTCCAAAGATGCTCGGGTTCCTGTTCAGGCACATTTTAAGACCAAAATACAAAGGGGTGTGCCCTGTTTTTATCTGACCTTTTTTATGTAGCCAGAGCTTGGATACATCTTTCTTCTTTGTATATTTAAAGAACAACATGTCATCAATCCACACTGATATTTCCCAAGTGTCTTTTGTATGTCTAATCCCTTTCTCTTATGCTGGATATCCTAGTTTTCAAAAGCATTGGAAGGTTAGACTATCACGTGACTCATTTGCTTTATCCCCTAGTACAAACAGTCTGAAAACAAGCATAACAACACTACACCACTGGTATGATTACTATGAAGACCCCTTTCCCCCTGACAAACACAGGCACACACAGAGTTCTTTTTATCTTCAGAGTATATCTCACTAAGTATATACAATTTAATCATTCTGCTTCAACAGTGTCATTTGCAGTACTGCCTCTCCTGTGCTTAAGTCAGTTGTTACTCTTTTTGATGTTTAAGTTACTCTTTCTTCAGCTAGCAAGAGCCCGTTCAGCCTGGCTTTAAGTCAGAGTTTTGTCATAACCCTAGTAGTGTTTGATGATACTTTGCTTCCTAGTATGACAAGTTCTTCCAGGTTTTTCTTGTACATTTCTTGGCCCATACCTAGAACCAGCCATCTAAAAGCCCTGATTCCTTTTATTGGGGAGTGATATTTAAGCAATAATTCAGGCACACTAAGGGTTTGTATTCAACTTAGTTAGACATCGTTCCTAGGCCTTTCAGAGGATACATTTTTTTTTCTTTTTTTTAGAAAACATATCAGTAGTTTAACTTGATAGTTCCAATGCAAATTTCACATTATTTTTTTTCTTCCTGTCTTTATATTTGCCTTTTTCCTCTTATGCCAAAAATCTTTGTTCTTGGTGAAGGTAGCATGATTTCTTATTTTACATGTATATAAATATAAATGAAGCTGACACACACATAATTTCTGAGGTAACAGTATCGATATTAATACTATGATTGTTAAGAAGTTTTAAGTTCCAGGCTTTTAATTGTTCTTAAGATATATCCCACTAGATATCAAGTTATTTTGTTTTAAAGTCATTGAAATAATTCCTTACTGTGTGATTAAGCCATCAACTTAAAACACTGTTTCATTTTGATTTTGGCTTTTAGATATTATTTACCTTTTTTTACCATTTGAATTTAATTTTGTTGTATAATTCTACACAACATTTTCAGAGTTGCAGTGCGAATCATAAAAACAAATACAGCATTTCTGTGTCCTTTCCACTCTTGTTTCCTTTCACCACCATTAGTTGCTGTTTTGGGTAACCATTTTTACTGCTAGCAAGTGTGTATATGTATTATCTTTCTTTACATTACTATATAAAAGGTAGATCATTGGGCTGGAAGTGCAGCACAGAGGTAGAGCTTACCAGCTGTGCAAGCCCAAGTTCCACTGTCAACAACAACAACACACGCACACACACATACACAGTAGCTTGTTTTTGGTTTTCTTGTTTTATTTCATGTTAACTTATAAGGTAATGACTTATAATAGGTAATAATTGCTTTCAGGTTGAATTATGGCCTATTTATATCCCTATGACCAAAGGTATTATAGTTATTTCAAATTTATTTAGGAGTCTAGTTGGAAGTATTCTGGTTTCTTGGACCTAGTGGTGAATCCACTTCTCTCTACACAATTTCCCTTAGGTTATTTCACCAAAGCCATTTACATACATTCATTGGTATGCTGATGATTTTCTTAGCTAGCCTAGACCTCAGAGCTCTGACTTGTCACCTACTTTACATCTCAGATATCTTAAACTTGCCATATACAAAGAACATTTTCCTTCCTACCCCCCAAAAAATAATCCTGCTTTCATCCTTCAGCTTTGCATCATCTAAGCTACTCATTTACTCAAGTTAGAAACCTAATAGCTAGTCTTGATTTATTCTAGCCACCACAGTAAATTTCCAGGTTGGTGTTTTTTCCATTCTCCTCTGCCAGTGTCATCCTCCAGGCAGCCCTCTGCTCTGACCCGAATCACAGTCTTCCTGCATCTACTGCTCTGCTCTGACCTGGATCACAGTCTTCCTGCATCTGCTGCTCTGCTCTGACCTGGATCACAGTCTTCCTGCATCTGCTGGTGTCATGTCACATTCCTTATTGAGACCCACAGGTGTCTTTTCCTCACATCTCGTTCCTCTGACCTGGCCCCAAGCCCCAACCCTCTGTCCAAGCTGGTCTTCTTTCAGACTCTTAATGGCACCAGGGCCATTTCCCTGTCTAGATTTTGCAGTGCTGTTTCTTCTCCGTGGAATGTTCTTTCTCCTTTCCTTTATTTCTTAGCTTAGCTATCATTAGCTAAGTGTCTTACCAGTCACACTCTCTAAGGTAGATATCTTTAAATTCTTTGTGTCTTTGTTGTTTCTTTTATAGTACCTATTACAACTTGGAATTTTTTATTTGTCCTTTATCTTTCTTTTCTGCTAAAAGGCAGGAGCCATCTCTATCTTATTTATTGTTATATCTACTGATTCAGAACCATAGCGGAGACTTTAATAGGCACTCAATAAATATTTGTAGAATAGTTATGAAAAGCTCTACTTTTTCGTACAGAACCCATTAATTAGGCATTCCCCAAATCATCCCAAAATGACTAGAACTACTTATATGACCATACTAGGACAAAACTACAACTAAATAAAAGTGTGAGTGTGTGTTTTGATGGTAAATGGGCAGGCAGCATGTAGTTAGTCTTCAAAGCACATTTTTAAGATTCTCTGACTTTCTTACAGCTGAATAGCAAATTGGCTTTGAACTGAAAAGGTACTATAATTTGGCCTCCATGACTTAGATTGGCCATATGATAAAAATCTTGGGAAAGGATTATTTGCAAACCACCTAGAACTCATGCACCCTCAATAATTCTATTATTACCTTATATTCACCCTAAGATTACAATCGGCATTCTTTTAATTAGGAATTTTATTCTAATATCAGCACAACAGAAGGTCCAGAAATACTCAGAAATGCAAACATGAATATACATGGAAAAACAAAAATAAGAACAGATGGTATTTTTTAACATGGTGTGTATAGATTAAATTTTGAGGATTAATATTGGAATTGCAATAAACAAATATTCAGCCAGCTTCTTACTCACTTTTAGAGTTTAAGCAAGTAAATGCATATTACAGTACAAACACTTCCTTTTAAAACTTTCACAGGACTCCGACTTGAAGAAAACAGTGGATGAAAGTGCGCGGATTCAGAGAGCTTACAACCACTATTTTGATTTGATCATCGTAAATGACAATCTAGACAAAGCCTTTGAGAAACTACAAACTGCCATAGAGAAACTGAGAATGGAACCACAGTGGGTCCCAATCAGCTGGGTTTACTGATGATTCAATAAGGTTAACAATTAAAATAAAACTCTTAAAAAAGTGACTCAACAAATAAACCTACTGAGAAAATTTGTGCACAGATAGAAGATATCTGCCAAGTTCAGGCATTTTTATCTTCTAGATTGAAATCAGTACACCTCTGAATTTTTATATAAAACGTGGTTGGGACGGTGTACTAATATATAATTTATCTTAATTTTTCTAACTTTTTATGGATAATCTTTCTATTCATATCACATAAAGAAATGCGTTGAAGCATTTTGTATATGTTTTTGATTTAGTACCCTTGCCCTTCTATCACAGGAATTTTCAGATCATTCACTCTTAACATTGGTCTTACATTTTCACTGTGATAATGAATACTTGAAGTAGTTTTGTAAAGATGCCATTTAGTTCAATATTTCACTAGTGAAGGGTCAGATAGTCTTATAGAAGAAAACAGTAGTTACTGACTCCTTCTTAATCAACTTTCTTACAAAAGGAGAGTTTTAGGGTCGATGCTGTGGCTGATCTGCCATCTCAGTCTGACATCAGAAGTCTTCAGAGTCTCATACTTTATACTATTCAGTGGCATGTGGCTAACCATTCTAATTTATTCAGAATGGGTTACTTTCTTCTTCATTTCTATCTTCAGTGAAAAAATGAAGAGCAATACCTTGCACTCTCTTTATGGGCTCATTCTTTTCAGTCATTGCAGCAACATGCTGAGGTTAATAATTTAGCACAGAAGCTCAGGCTGGAAGCTAAGTCATGCAGACTCAGAGAGTGCCTTATCCTTTAAAGCCCAAAATGACACTTAAAAAGTTTACTCATTTTCACACATAAATTTTTGAACCTACCACATGATAGGGGGTTTTGTTTTGTTTTGTCTTGTTTTTAAGGATATGGGTCAGCAAAATATCATGCTTCTGCAAATTTCTGTGATGTTTAAAGATGCCTCTAAGTTTGCAGGTGGAGGGGTTTTTTTTGTGAGTGATCAATGTGCTCTTTGAAATGTGATGTGATTGTAGGGTACTTGTTCTGTTTGTTTTATTGAAAATCATTCGTTGAACAACTTACAAAATTCAGAAATAATTATCAGCTATTTTATATATATATACATACACATAATATATACATTATATAATGGATATTATATAATGTATTATATATTAAAGTGTTTTGTATTTTTTACACTTCTTTTAGGAAATATACTTTATTGTTTGATGATTATGACAAAAGTCCTCCTTTAGATGCATTGACATAATATACAAATTACATATTCTCCCCAGTATTTTCCTTTAGAACTCTTATATGATAAAAATTCTTCCTAAAACATTCAGAGATAAGCTCATCACTACCACAAGTTAACCATATTTTATTTCACGTCTAGCTTTTCATATACACAATATTCATACCTTAAACGGTTAGGTACTTAAATATTAATTAGCATCTTTGGTGTTTGTTAGGCAACAGGTACCTGGCTGCTAAATCAGCTGAATTTCCCCTTCATTAATGCTGTCAAATAGAATGCCAACTGGGAGGGCTTTGAAGATAAATATCCACATGCTGTTTTAAATTATTTTCACAATAAAATGTCTAAATTGTTGTATGATTAAAAATAGAAATCTCTTAAGCTTTTTTTTTTTTTTAATTCTAGAGTTTTATAGCCAGAGCATAAATTCTTTTGCCTTGCCCTGGAACTGGAAACTGGTAATAAAATGGATCATACTGTTTAAATAACTTTGGAAAATTTTAAACCACACTTATCTGCCCTACATTCATAGCTTCTCAAGCAACATGAATCAAAGCACAGTATTGAGGTGATGTCTTAGAACTTAGGTCTCAACACCCTGTAGGTTTTAAGAGAAATTTCAGCTCTGTACTCCAATGAAATGTGCTGTATTTCCCAGCGTACCTTCATGCTACTCCATGAATAATTGTAGCAGCACAGAAGTTTACCCACAAAATATTTCTACTATCTTGATGCAACAGCAATGACTTTCACATATGTATTTATAGCCTTATCATGTGACATCAAAAGAGAATTTTGGAATATAGTTTATACTTAAAAGAATTATTTCTGCTATAAATGGTATTCATTATTTGCTATGTCGTTCACATTAGATTCTTCCTACTGAAATGATGCAGTTTAGTTCATTTCAATGTAGATGTCAATGTCAAAGAAAATAAATCTAGAAAAGTTCATTGAACCTCAATGAAGAATCACCAAACTTGACACCCAAGTCTCATCTGAGTCTGCAGGAACCAGCCATGCTCTGCTGAGGCAAGGAGGCTCAGAGGCCCACCCCAGGGTTTTTCCTCGGTATTGTGATCAAAGAAAAGTATATTTCTCTTATAGGAAAATAAGATAATAGACTTATTTATAATAGCCTGACTGAAGATAAAATGGTTTACAGTGATTTTGAACAGTTGATAATAGGTAAAACACACACATATGCCTGTGCTTTTGGTAAGTAAACATGATATGTTGATACATAAGAGTACCTGAGGGTTACTGTGCACAGATGAGCATCCACATTCAGCATTCAGGGCTTGACTATTCATATACAACAAGTGGTTATGTGTATGTTTTTCATTTCCAAACGTATGAGTTTCCATAGAGATGATGTCCCTGAATAAGTCATTAAGCTGTAACTGGTGGGATATATTTGATGTCCTACAAGTAGAATTTTCACCTTCAGTATAGCCATTCTTTTATTATGCAGTCTCTATTTCTAGTTTAGAGAATTTTAAATGTCAAATACATCAGGAGTTTACTTTTCTTTTTTTTTGCCAACTCTATACAATTGCTGACCATACCTTTCTGAAATAGAAATTATCAAAAACTCAGTGTGGCTACAGCAATAGGAGCCAGAATTCTAGATTCTAGAATCTAGCACACTTATTTATAATAGCCTATAAGGAGAAGTTTTCTTTAAAACAACAAATTGGTAGTTAAGATATATTTATAAAATAACCCAAATTAGCAGTAGAGTTCAATAGCATGACATTGTAGATTATGGCCAGATACTAACTGCTCTGGCCATAATATCCCAGTGACAATAAAAGACCATCCCTAAAATTTCATTGAAATGGTACTTATTCTTATGCATAACAAGTATTTTGATCCAGTGATTGGAGTTGATTTTCAAAATGGATAGCCATAAAACTAGGTATAATTATTATTTTGAATTGACAAATTGAAAACATGAAATTTTGAAAATTGATCAAAACAACTGCATGTATTTTACTTTCATGACTCTTCCATTATTCAGAATTGCAGGCTAGAGAGCCAATAATTTTGTAGTAATAAGTCTTTATACTAAGTATGAAAAAGGCAATCCTGAGGCTTTATGTACATAAGTAGTTCATTTTTTAAAAAATGTCTTGAGTTGCCATATATATGTGTGTGTGTATATATATACAGCTATGCCTATAATGTGTAACATTCTCCAAAAATACATAAATAATAAAATCCACCCATGTATTATAACTAGTGTTCTAAAATTTTTAATTACTCTCAAATTCCTAGACTTTCTGAAGCTGTTTTAGATTGTTTTAAAAGATTCTGGTTTTACCTTGAAGCTAATGCTTATCTTCTTTCTGAAAAATAAGAGAAATTAAGCTCAGAAAGTTATTTTTCATTATTGTAATTTAGTTTCCTTCAGGAAAACATAAAAGTTCTGGATGGAAGCCTCTTGGGAAGTACTAACTTAAAACTTCAAATGAGTTTGTGCTGTGATTGAGGCTTAAGGATTTTAATACCTTTTTGTTGCAAGGGATTTTCTGTGAGAATTCTTACAATAACATCTGTAATATATTTGGAGTTCTGTGGAGAAATTTTAAATAATGAGATTATTGTTTATAGTGCAACTGAATATTACATACTTTTAAGAATACATTTCACTAATAATTCAGCATCATATCTGTTTTATGTAAATATATGTGACGTACCTGAAGAAGATGACAATTCTATAGTTCTTTAAGGTAAGGTTTTTAAATTGCATTTTTGTTTTGGTTTTTTTCAAGTCTTTTTTTTTTTTAATATTTGTTGTATTTCATCATGTTACCTTCTGTGTTCCTGGAATGAATTTTTAAAAACTGCACAGAGTTTCTAAACTAAAAACAGGAGTCCTTAATGGATTGAAAGTAAGAAAATGATGGTACCTCATTTCTAAGGTAAGAAGCATGGTTTGCACTACTTTGGCAGAGCACTGCAGCACTGTCTGATGTACTCTCATGGTAAAAGTAAAAACAGTGTGCTTCTGCCTAAGATCCTAATTCTGACTTCTAACCATATGCTTTTTTATAAGATTTATAGCTTTGATCTTTACCATCCCACTTGTTAAATAGGACTAAGTTAATATTTGACTTCATCTTAAATTATAAGGAGTAATTTGTAACTGGTAAATCTTTATTAGACTATTAAATGTGTTCATTCATACTAAGGTCGCTTATCTCTTAGTTTCTTTAAAGTGCACATCATCTTGAGGTGATGCAGAGGATGGTGAACACCATTCAGGATTCCCACCTCCAGGTTAAAATAGCCCAAGGATATAGTTCCAGTCTATAAGAGGGTCTGTTTGCCCTTTCAGTCACCCTAATCCCAAGGCTTCTTCTGGTTTAGAATCCCATCCCAAATCCAAATGTGGAATAGACTCTGATCTTTGCCCCCTAAAGCCACCCCACTTTATCCTGATGCCTGACAGTTACCACCTCGGACCTGTTGTTTTACTCACAGTGTTAAGTTTAATAGGCATATTATTTCTTTATAGGAAGAAACATTCACAGTTCAGTCCAGTTAGCCTCAAACTCCAGATAAAAGCTCTTTTTCTTTCTAATTGCTTCTCAGGTATTGGCTGATTATGCAGTGATGTGATAAATTTGACTTTTCCCTCCATACATAGAAGGTCAGAAGCAACGATTCTTTCTTTTCTTTTTCTACTAGCCTTTACTGTTTTCTAATCTCCAGCATAAAGTGAATGAACAGATCTGTAGTTAAGGTAGAGGCCATTTATAACTTGGAAGTTAAACAATAAATTGCTTATAAACTATTGTCTTTGAGTCCCATGAAATGTAGGAATTATTGTTACCACAGAACAGAAGCCAAAAAATCTTTTTTTTTTTGGTTTTTGGTTTTTGGTTTTTGGTACTAGGGTTTAATCTAGGGCCTCGCAAATACAAAGCACACATACTACAACTGACCAGTATTCCCAACTCCGTATTTCAAAAGTTGGAAATAGTTGTCTTTATTGCACTTCAGCCAACAGCAAGCCAGGGGCAGCAATATGTAAATATAATGGGCCATACCTAAAATTTGGTGGTGGTCCTATCATTCAAGGTGGCCTGATAACTTAGAGTACAGTGGGTCAGAAGACCCATTGTTAAACAATCCTGTTCTCTGTGTGTGTGTATGTGCATGTGTATATACACACCCCTGTATCTTACAGTTCTAGCTTTCACATATGAAGGAAAACGTTGTCTGAGAGGCCTACAAGGAGGCAGGAGAGGAAGAGAGAGTAATAGTGAATAATATTGAAACACAGTGCATCTGTGTATGAAGACAGTATAACGAAATACACTAAAAGCTGTTGAGTAATAGGGGAGCCAGATGATAGAGAAAGTAATAGCAGTGTTAATCTGACTGAAGTACATATATACATGTATGAAATATCAAGGTGAAGCCTCTTGAGCAGTCAATATACACTTTAAAAAATGAAGGACAGGAAGGTAAAAACAGGTCCTGTCCAGTGGTGGGTACCAGTGGGAGAGTAAATGGAGGAGGCCAAAACTGGTGATGTGCTTTGTATATGTGTATGAAAATAGAACAATGAAACCTAATAGAATTGTTCTAAGAAGGGAAGGGATGAGTGAGAATGATGGAGATGAATCTAATTAAGATACATTGTAAGTACATATGTAAATGTCAAATGACTCTTTCCTGTACAACTATTATATATTAATAAATTTTAAGACACCTTAGTAAGAATTAAAAAAACATATCAGTTGAGGGCTAGGGCTGGGGGGTATAGCTCCATGGTAGAGTATGTATTCTTAGCATACACAGGGCTCCAGGTTCCATCTTCAACAAAAACCTCATCAGCTATCAATTACTAACTTTAAACCAGAAGCAATTACTAGTCAAAATGTATGGTTTTCATCTCCATTTGAGAGGTGGGCTGTAATAACATTACATCGAATATGTAAAGCTTATTGTCCAAATGGGAAATACCTTAGCCTTTTCAAGAAAAACCAGATTGGACGTCATAGCGTGTACACCCGTACTTGAAATACAAGGTGAGCATTTCATTTAGCTGTATATTGTCTTAAAAAGAACTGCTGAGGTTCCTGTTTCTTCCTTAACAATTTTTTTTTCTCTTTTTTGTTAACTAGCATAAATTGTACAGTGGGGTTTCATTGTAATACTTCAGTACGTGCATATGATGTATTACTATTACTGTTACCTTCCCTCTTGCCTTTAACAGTTTTAGTGGATTTCATTATGATATTTTCGTGTGTGTGTATGATTTTTTTTAACTAGCATCTTGGATCCTATTACAGAAGAAGGAGTGGTAGGGTTCAGCAAAAAAAAAAAAAAAAAGTGAAATTTTCTGCATGGTATTTTGTGCTCTGGCAGAGCCCATAAAAAGCATCTAATATGAAAACTTTGCTGTGGGAGTTTTTTATCTCCCCCCCCAAAGTTCATTTTGGTTTATCTTTCCTTTGAACATAAATGCATTGTCTCTCTAACCTCCAGCCTTTGAAGTGATTGTAGACAAAAACATTTTTCTCCCCCAGTGGAGGTCAAAATGCTCACTAGTGATCAAAAATCAGAGGTCAACAAGCTGCTTAAATTTCTGATGAAAAGGTTTAAAAATAAAAATTAAGCACTACTACCTTCCTAGTAATTGTATTACTACTTCCTGTATAAAAGAAGCATTACTGCTGTCCTAGTATTAATAAAAAATTTTCCTGCAGCACAGTTTATTATTGATTTTTCAGAAACTGTCTCTATAAATAATTTCACTTATTTCCATGTATTATTCAAAACAAAAATCAAAATGTTCAGTTTGTGAGATTACATCCGGGTAAAATATTTTTGTACATACAAATAAATATTTACTCTTAGAGTAACATAGTGTTTCACTTAAAGGTGGAACTAAAGTTTGGAGACAGCAGGGTATGATCTTAGCTTTGGTGATTCCCTTTAAGGCAGTGGTCTTTGTACAGCATCATTTTAGTTTTTCCCACCTGAATGAATTTTTCACTTGCCTCTATTTCTCTACAAGGAAACCCTAACTATTGTTTGTTTATCCTGGCCTAAGCAATTTGGTGGCTTTCAAAGACAACACAATCAAAGAATTTTAGAACTGGGGAAGATTAAAATACAGGATTGAGAAAACAGCCTTCTTTGCTTCAATGGCATGTGTACAATGGCCATTTCCCAGCTGGCCAGGAGAGAGAGCCTGCAGCAGCACACAGCTCAGTTGTGGGCCTGCCATAAGGGGCAGTGGACCCTTGGCTGGCAAGAGATGGAGGCTGTGGGTGATGGAGGAAGTCTTTCCAAGAGCCCTTTGAAGCTCACTCCCAAGATACCTCACAAGAAACTGCTATTCTAGCGTATTAGGTCTCCAGGAGAGTTAGTACTGTTCATTGTTCTTATGCTACCTGTCTACTTTTGGGTCTTTAGAGGATAACATAAATTTCTAACAGGAATACAGGGGTGAAAACATCTTTACCTCTTATCCCAGACTCTTAATTCCCTAAACTCAAAGGAGCCACTGCTAGTTTTCTTATGAACTCTTTTTTTTTTTTTTTTTTTGGGCAGGGAAAGGGGGCAGTACTGGGGTTTGAACTCAGGGTTTTGTGCTTACTAGGCAAGCACTCTACCACTTGCGCCACACCTCCAGCCCTTTTTACTTAGGTTATTACTGAAATCTCTTTGCCCAGGCGGGTCTGAACTGTGATCCCTGTATTTTATTGCTTCGTGCCATAGCTGGGATGACAGGTGTGCACCACCATACCCAGCTTTGTCTGATGAAATAGTCTCATAAACTTCTTTCTTTGAGCTGGCCTGGAACTGTGATCCTCCCCATCTAGCCTTCTAAGTAGCTGGGATGACAGTCACACACCACTGTACCCAGCTATTGGTTGAGATGGAGGGGCTGACCTTAATCCCAAGTAGCTGGAATTACAGGCACAAGCCATGGCACCTGGCTTCTGTGAGCTCTTTAAGCAAGATTTCTCCATGTCAATACATGTATATTTTTATATAAAAGATTGTTATTAAATATTCTATTTACAGTTCTTTATACTGACTTAAAAAAAAAACCCAAAAAGGCACAGTGCCACCAATTTACCACAACTACTTTCACTTTCTCTGTTAATAAGTTAATTAACATTTGCCACCACAGTGCATACCTTTGTATCTTTTTCCTCCACATATAGTAAATTGCTTAAAGCCAAGTCTTGTTTTTAACAGAGGTGATGCTTTATTTCATCATTGTTCATGTTCCTTCAAATCTGAAGCGGTGAAAGGGATTAAGTGGGTGACATGGAGGAGAAAATGAGCATGCACTAGTGTGCTTCCCTTCCAGCCACTGCTGTTCCTCGTTCCCAGGGCCTGTAAGTCCCAGAGGAACTGATTCTACTATTGGTAGAATCAGGAGCCCTAAGCCATTTGTAGCAGAAGGACCTCACAACAGAAGAGCAAAATATATACAATTCTGAATTTCCTTTGATAGAAAATACAGTTCTTGACAAATTAAGTTCCCAGGATGCATAAGAACACTACATTGTTCTAGATATAAAATTAGTATATTCACCAAAGTATGGCAAGGTCAAACACAGATAGCCAGATCCCAAACAGGAAGGGGGCTATTAGAATATTTTAGTGTGATAGATGACTCATTGCTCTGCAGGAAAAAAGGTCTGAGTGTACACCAGCTTAAGAGTTTCCACTCTCCCTCAGTTCCTTAGGTGCTAAGATCTACCTTGGAAGCCCTTGTTCACCATTTACTAGCATAGGAGGCTTCTGATTTTAAAAAAAAAAAAAAACCTGTTTAAAAAGTACCTGGGGACATTCATACTGCCATGGCTTCTTTTGTAATTAATTTCATTAATCAACTTTTATGTGCATTGGACTAAATCCCAAAGTAGTATCTTAACAGTTTTGAAAAACGCCCAGCCTTAGCCAATAACGTACTTCTGACTGACAAATGACATTACTGATGTTCTCTGCCTAGTGCATGGAGTCCACTCAGAGTAATAGAAAGAATCAGTGGGAAGATGTGAGAATCCGACAATATGACAGCTTTCACAGATGACTGCAGTCTCTCCAAGCTGATATCACAAGAGGCAAACAAACACTGCACAATCCCAAACTTCTCAGTGTCTTTCAGGGGAGCCAAGACTGGGTCTTCCAGGTCAGAGACCCCGTTGTCAGACAGAGTGTGGAGCTGAAATGACAAATTTAAATTTTAAAATGCCATGGAAAAATCCATGTACTTAGACGGTAATGCACTTTTCAGTAACTGGTAAAAACTAGCTGAATAATTGTTTTTAAATTCACCAAATGAGGAGGAAAACCATGAAGATGTAACAAGATACATCTTCAGGCCTGATTTAATCCAACCCACCTGCGGTCCTCTGAATCCCCACTCTCAATTTTTACTTTCTATACCCACTAACTCCAAGAGATGAGAAAGGTCAGGATGTGACATCCTCATACGCCAGTATCAGGGCTCACCTGTTGTTTTATAGAGACATTAGTATAATTTAATGCCTGTATACAATATAATCAAATCAGGATAATCATCTTCGTTCAACAGGAATTGTTTCATTTTAGAATGTCAAACTCTTCTGATTACTTTGGAACACATCAGATTGTTTTAACCAATAGTTACCCCAGTGTGTTAAAGAAGGATCAGAAGTTATTCCTCTCTCTGTGATTTGGTGCCCTTTGTTGAACTTCATTATTCTGTTCTTCCTCCCCACTGCCTTGTGTAGCCTCTGGTGACCGTTATTTATCCTGTTCTGTGAGACTGGCTGGCATGTGTCCACAAATGAGTGGGGAGATGTGCTGTGTCTATGGGGAGATTAATCTCCTTTGGATACACACACACACATAGTATGAAATTGTCAAATCGTATTTGGTAGCTCTGTATTTAGTTTTTTGAGAAATCTCTGTACTGTTTCACGTAAGTGCTAACAGTATGTAAGAGTTCCCTTTTTCACATCCTCACCAGCATTACTTATTTTTTGATGATAGCCATTTAACTGGGGTGAGAGAATCTCATCATGGTTTTGATTCATATATTTCTGATTAGTGATGAACATTTTTCCATGTGTTTGTTATTTATATGTCGTCTTCTGAGAAGTGTCTGTTTAGTTCTTTTACTTTGTGGGGGTTTTTGTTTGTTTTTGAGACAGGGTCTCACTATGCAGCCCAGTCTGGCTTCGAACTCGTGATCCTCCTGCCTCAGACTCCCAGGTACAGGGATTACAAGTGTGCACCACCATGCTCAGCAGTTCTTTGGCCCATTTTTAGTGGGATTCTTTTGTTTTATGGTATTCAATACTTTGAGTCCCTTTTGTATTCTGGATGAATCCTCCATTAGATGAATAGTTTGCAAATATTTCCTTGTGGCAAAGGATCGTTTTGATGTATTGAATTTGGGTACTATTTTATTGAGAACTTTTGCATGTGAGTCTAGTTTTTTGTTGTATCTTTGTCTAGTTTTGGTTTTAGGGTAGCTCCTTGTGAAAAATATTTGGTAGAGTTCCTTCCATGTCAGTTTTTTTGGAGTAGTTTAAGAAGGATCAGCATTAGTTCTTCTGTAAAGGTTTTGTAGAATTCAGTAAAGCCATCAGGTCCTGGGCTTTTTTTTTTTTTCTTCTAGATGATTTTTAATTACTGCTGCTTTCTCACTATTCATTATAAGTCTTTTTAATTTTTTTATTTCTTATACATTTGATTTTGGTATGTTGTGTATATTCAGGAATTTATCCATTCTAGGTTTTCCAGTTTTTGAAACATATAATTGTTTGTAGTGATTTCTTGTGATCCTTTTCTTTTTTTTTTTTTTTCTTGATACTGGGGTTTGAATTCAGAGCCTTGCACTTGCTAGGCAGGAGCTCTACCACTCACCATGCCTCCAGCCTGTGATCCTTTGATTTCTATGGTGTCATTTGCAATGTCTCTTTTTTCCATCTAGAATTTTACTCATTTGGGTCTTGTCTTGTCTTGGGTAGTCCAGCTAATGGTTTACTGGTTGTTTTCTTTCAAAAACAAAGAAATTTTATTTTCCTTTTATTTTATTATTCATATGTGCATACAAGGCTTGGATCATTTCTCCCCCCTGCCCCCACCCCCTCCCTTACCACCCACTCTGCCCCCTCCCTTTCCCCCCCACCCCGCCCCCTCCCTTTCCCCCCCACCCCCTCAATACCCAGCAGAAACTATTTTGCCCTTATCTCTAATTTTGTTGAAGAGAGAGTATAAGCAATAATAGGAAGGAACAAGTGAAAAACAGAAATCTTGTTTCATTGGTCTTTTTTGTTGTTGTTATGTTTTATTTTTAGTTTTCATTTTACTTGATTCTGTTAATTTTGGGTTTGGTTTGTCCTTGCTTTTCTAAGTCTCATTGTTAGGTTGTTTGAGATCTATTTTTTTTTATTTATGCAAGCATTTATTGCTATAAACTTCCCTCCCAGTGCTGCTTTTACTGTAGCCCACAGATTGATATATGTTGTCATTTCATTTGTTTCTAGAAATTTTTTATTTGCCTTATAACTTCTTCAGTTACCCATTGGCCATTTGGAAACATGTTTTTCATTTTTCATATATTGTATACTTCTCACTCTTCTTGATTTTGATTTGTAGTTTTATTCCCTTATGGTCTGTTAAGATACATTATATAATTTCAGTTTTGAAAATGCATTGAGACTGATTTGTGTCAGTCTATAAGCCATTCTGGAGAGTGTTCCATGTTAATGAGAAGAATGTGCTTTCTGTTGCTGTGGGGTGAAATATTTCTGTTACTGTCAGGTCCAATTGCTGTATAACATGGTTCAGCTCTGATGTTTCTTTAATCTTGTGTCTAGATGAACTGCCCATTGGAAAAAAAGTGAAGTTCCCCACTATTACTGATTAAAATCTATCTCTCCTAGTCATATTTGGTTTATATATTTTTCTGGTCATGTTGGGTGCATTTATATTTGCAATCATTACATCTTCTCACTGAATTGATCCTTTGAGTATATATATTGGCCTTCTTTGCATTTTTAATTTAATGTCTTTATCTGAGTATGGTTTCTCTGGCTGACTTCTGGCATCCATTTTGATGATACTCTGTTTTCCAGTCTTTCACTTTTATTCTTATATGTGTCTTAACCTGTGATGTGAATTTCTAGTAGTCAGTACATAGTTGGGTCTTGATTTTTATCCACTCAGCCAGTGTTTGCCTCTTGGTTGTGAATTTAAATCTATATATATATACACACATACATATATATATTCACAGTTATTGATAATAGGTGTAAACTTTCTCCTGTTAATTTGGTTAAGTGGACTCTGCTCGTTTTGTATATTTTTTGTTCTTTCCACCTCGTTTTTATTTCTGTGATTTTGTTGTTTTCTGTCATGCCAAGGTTCAACTCTCTTCTTTCTCTTTCAAGTGTCCCTTCTTCTAGTGAGTGTTCATATTCATATATTTTCATGATGGTAATTATTCTTTCATTTCTAGTGTAGGGTTCCCTTAGATATTTCTTGTAGGGCTGCTTCGGTGGTGAGATATTCAATCAGTTTCTGGTTATCTGAGAGACACTATCTCTCAGTTTTGAAAGATAATTTTGCTGAATATAGTATTTTTGGTTGGCTAGTTCTTTCATATCATTCTCTTTTCCTTCTGGTTGTTAAGGTTTCTGCTGAGACATCTGTTAATTTCAACAGGGTATTCCTTTCCGTTTAACTTGACACTTTTCTCTTGCTGTTTGTAAGATTTTGTCATTGCCTTGTATTTTTGACAATTTGTCTGTTATAATATGCCTTGAGAAAGGTCTTTTTTAATTGAGTATAATGGGAGTGTTTTGAGCTTCATATATCTCTGAATATTTGGGATATCTTTGGCTATCATTTCATGAAATTGCTTTTTAATGCCTTTCCTCTTTTTCCCCCATCTGGAATTCCCATGATACTCTTTTTTTTTTAATTTAATGTCTCATAACCTTTTTTTCCCCCCCTTTGGTCAAAAGAATGGTCCTCAATTTCAGAAATTCTTCTTATTCTAGTCTGTTGTGGAAGCTCTTGTGTTATTTCATTGATAGTAGTTTTTAGCTCCAAGATTTCTGATGGGCTCTTTTTAATTCTCTTTGAATTTTTTTAATCTGTGTTCTCTTGAATCTCATTGTCTTTCCTCAGGATTATTTGAAATGCTTTTCAAGCCTTTCACAGATGTTCTTCAAGATGTCATGTTTCCTCTGTCTTTACATTGATGTCTGTGCATCTGGTGTAACTTTTATTCTTCCAATTTTATGAAGCAACATTTGTAGAAAAAGTCTGTTGTTTAGGATGTCAGTTGGATAGGTGCTTTGTCTTTAGTTATACATGAGCTCAAAAGGGTAGCCATTGTGTGATTTCTTCTTTGACTCATATCAGCAGTGTCTGAATGCCTCAATAGTCTAGACTGCAGAAGTAATTGTATGTCTTTGCAGTGGACATAGACTTCCAAGGGTGTGTCTTCAGACTCCACAGTTAACTCCTGAGAGCACCAGTCCTGGTGGTGTAGTATGTGGAGGGGACTATCCCTCAGGACAAGCACAGTTGATGCCAAAGTTTGTGGGAGGTGCCTGGGCCTGTGGACCAGCTCTCATGGGTTAAAGGGGAATATAAAAGGGACCTTATCTAGATTCCATTGGGGTAATTACAGTTGCTGGGGTTTAAAGTACTGTTGGCCACTTTTGTAGTGCAGTGAGATTCAGGTGGTACCTTCTCCAGGTCCCAAGGGGTAAGCACAAGTGTTACCCAGACTTTCGTGATTCAAAGACTGTGATATGGAGATGTTCCCTAAGTCTTGCAGGGTATGTGCAGGCAACATTAGAGCTGCTGGTGCTGGTATCATGCTCCTGGACATGTGGGACATGGGGAAGATCTTCCCTTGGTCCAGTCAGGCAAGCCCTGGTGGAATGAAGCTTGTTGCATTGTTAGCCATTGTCCTGGAGCTAAAGAATGTGGATGTGAACTACTCCCCCGCCACCACCCAGGGACAAGCTTGGGTGGTACTGAAGCTTTGTGCACCAGAAGTTGCAGTCCCTAGACAGCAGACTTTCCCTAGTTTCTTTCAAGTAGGTACAGGTATCAGCGGGAGTGGATTCCTGGAGCTGCAGGATTTTGCTGTGAGCTTTCCCAACTTCCAATGGACAGAAATGGGTATAGTCAGGGCTTGGCAACAGTCCTAAGGTTATGGAGCTCAGCTGGGAATTTTCTCAACTCCCAATGGCTTTGCCGTAGTGGCTATAGTCATACAGGAGCTGCCCAGCAGTGCTTTCAGAGAAGCCTGTTGCTGGTTTCCATTAATGGCCCAATCTGTAACTGAAAGGAAAAGCTTAATCTTGACTGTGGGGTTACACTCATAATTACCTAGCACTTATTCTTATAATGACATTTCCAGGGGGCATCAAACTCATGACAGTCCTAAAAGAGGATGAAAGAAGCAATGTCTCCCCAAGACAAAGCAGTCCTGGTGAACCTGACACAAGCATGGACTTGTTATTTGCCATGGCAAATGACGAGGTATTGGACCCCATTCGTGTCATGTAGCTCCAAACCTTGGCCATAATTCTTTCCAAACTGTGGAAAGCACATTATTTGGAGTCTGGAGATAGGGTTGGATTTCTAGTTCTGCTGGTCAGTTCTTTAACAAATTCTTTCCCTCTGAACCTCAGTCTTCCCATGGGATGGACTTGTGCAGTGTATAAAAAGTGGGGTTAAGCTGTCATGGATGAAAAAGCTGGAGGTGTTTTATCAGCTGATAAGAGTCTACCCTTCCCCATCAGTTCCCCTCCTATCCCTCCCAAGGTTCTACCCAGGAGCCTTCTTACCAAGTAGCACAGGGTGGGAATAATCTGGAGTTTGCAGCAAGTGCCCAGAAGAGCTGTGGCATTATCTGGCATTTCTGCAAGAGACAAAACTCACAGTCTGTCAAAAATTCATGAGGCCAGGTGCCAGTGGCTCACACCTGTAATCATGGCTATTCAGGAGGCTGAGATCAGGAGGATCGTGGTTCAAAGACAGCCCAGGCAAATAGTTCATGAGACCTATCTTGAAAATACCACCACAAAAAAGGACTGGTGGAGTGGCTCAAGATGAAGGTCATGAGTTCAAGCTCCAGTACAAAAAAAAAAAAAAAAACATGGGAACGGGGTGCAATGATGAACTCCTGTAAACCCAGCACTCAGGAGATTGAGACAAGGAGGATCACTAGTTTAAAATCAGCATAAGCTGCATAGTGAAATCCTGTCTCAAAAAAAAAAAAGTTCATGGGAACACAGCCAGCCCCTGAATGATACCTAGTTTATATTTTAGTACCTTTCCACCAGCAGGGTGGAGGAAGTGCTCATTAATTTCTGAATAAATGAACAGTGTTAAATGCACAACAAAATCCTTTTTGAAAACAGGTGTAGGAATCCAATATGCCTTGACATTCTGTTTGCCAATCAGGGAGAACAGCACAAACTGTGGCAAAAGAGAATCAGCATGAAAAAGCAGAAAGACCTTGTGATCTGTGGTAGAGGGTTTGAGCCCTCCACATAACCAGGCTCTGGCAGTAGGAAAGCATCTCGGTTTCCTCATTTGACTCCATAAATCTATGGGGATTATCTTAGGGGAGGGGCATATGTCAGAACATTGCATAAACTACAAAGGACTCCACCCAAGTCCGCCATCATTTTCAGGAGGAAACTTCAGTATGAGCTAATCAGGCAGCAGAGGCACCAACGGCAGGAGTTGGGACCAGGCTGTGCAAGGCTGGGGGTGCACCAAAAGGGCCCTGCCAACCCCCAAGGAAAGGAAGTCCACGTCAGTGTCACTCAAAATGAATATTAAGTACTTCCAGAATAAAAGAGGTACAATTCCTATAATGACCCCAATCCCTGGGGCACAACCTCAGAGCTGAAAAGGCAAAAAGTCACCCGTTAAACCACCTGGGGACAGGGGAAAGGGCACTGTTCATGAACTGCTTCACACCTGCATCCCTTAGCAGCTTTACTTGGGAAAAAAAAAAAAAAGTGCATGTCCCTGAGCCTGTAACCCGTAACCCGGAGGACAGAAGAACATGGTTCAGTCCCATGAGAGGGCAAAGGGCACTTGGAGGAAGGGGGAGCCAGGGGAATGTCCCTGCCAAAGAGCCCCTCATCCTGCCTTCAAATGCAGTGTGTACATCTGTCACTGAGAGGCCCTTTACCCCACACAGGAAGATAACAGAAATATCGTGTCCTAGAGGAAAGGTGAAGAGGTTGGGGGGACAGCTCAGTGGTAGGGAAGTTTCAAAGCATGCACGAGACCCTGGGTTTGGTCCCTAGTACCATGGGGAAAAAGGCCAGAATTAAGAAACCAGCCCAACCTCTGCTGTGACTGACGTGTAGATGACATCACAGTTGGGAGAAAAGGGCAGCTGAGGCTTAGACACTGGCTGCAAAGATTGGGTACCTAGACTTTACCACCTCTGACCTCCACTTCAGAAAGAGCAAGTCTTGTGAACTGAAACTGCCAGGCTCGGGGAGGAGGCTGTGGTAGTATTTGGCAATCTATAGCTAGAAGGGTTTTAAGAAGTAATAGGGGTGGTAAGGAAAGGCTCTCACGTAAGGAAAGAACTCTGGCCTGTGGATTAGCTCCTGGCAGAATGCCTGTCCTCCAAGACTAATTCACTGATGTTAATATTGGGCAGAGTCTCTAGTGGAGTTCCATAGAGCTCTCTGATATCCTGTCCCAGTCAATCAGGTGATTTAGAGCAAGACATAGGGCACATATTCACCAATACACAGACCTGAAGGACACATTCTGATGAATTTTTTGGCAGTACTGGAGTTTGAGCTCAGGGCTTTGCACTTGCAAGGCAGGTGTTCTACCACTTCAACCACACCTCCAGACCTCTGTTTTTAAAAAGGTGAAGATTCCCAGGCCTCTGTCTCTGCAGTACTGGGGAGGATCACCAAGCCCTCACTTGCATCCCTTGAAGGGAAGCTGGGCCTAGCAGGCTGGGCTGGGCACTCATGTCTTCCAAAGAGGGAGCAGGCTATTCACAATAGCCAAGTTATGGAAACAGCCAAGATGTCCCAGCACTGACGAATGGATTAAGAAAATGTGGTATCTATACACAATGGAATTTTATGCAGCCATGAAGAAGAACGAAATGTTATCATTCGCTGGTAAATGGATGGAATTGGAGAACATCATTCTGAGTGAGGTTAGCCTGGCCCAAAAGACCAAAAATCGTATGTTCTCCCTCATATGTGGACATTAGATCAAGGGCAAACACAACAAGGGGATTGGACTATGAGCACATGATAAAAGCGAGAGCACACAAGGGAGGGGTGAGGATAGGTAAGACACCTAAAAAACTAGCTAGCATTTGTTGCCCTTAACGCAGAGAAACTAAAACAGATACCTTAAAGCAACTGAGGCCAATAGGAAAAGGGGACCAGGAACTAGAGAAAAGGTTAGATCAAAAAGAATTAACCTAGAAGGTAACACCCACACACAGGAAATCAATGTGAGTCAATGCCCTGTATAGCTATCCTTATCTCAACCAGCAAAACCCCTTGTTCCTTCCTATTATTGCTTATACTCTCTCTACAACAAAATTAGAGATAAGGGCAAAATAGTTTCTGCTGGGTATTGAGGGGGGGAGCGGGAGGGGGTGGATTGGGTGGTAAGGGAGGGGGTGGGGGCAGGGGGGAGAAATGAACCAAGCCTTGTATGCACATATGAATAATAAAAGAAAAATGAAAAAAAAAAAAAAAAAACAAAGAGGGAGCAGGAAGCCCAGCTTCCTCATACGGCCACCACCAGTCCCTCTGGCATGCCAAGTCTGGATGGGTGAGGGAGAGAGGTAGCAGGCAGGGTCTGCTGTTCAACAGGAACTGGTAACTGCTTTCTTCAGAGGCCACTTTAGAATGTGTGCAGAAGCCGTGGAGCTGCTGGGGCCAGTCACAGCCCTGTCTCCATGCCTTGCGCATTGGGACATGGACCCTCTGCAACAGGGGCTGCCATGAACTGAGGCAACAAGTTTGCAAAGAAGAAGGGAAGGGTCAGAAGGACCAGAAGAGCTGGAGAGAGAATTGCCAAATGAAAGTCCCAGTCACTCAGCACTGCCCAGGCTCCAGTGTGTGTTGGTGAGAGGAGACCAAGGGCCACCCCTCCCTGGGGAAGGAGATCTGCCTCCAAGAACAAAAGAGGCCCAAGTCAGACAAAAAGGCCTGCTTCTCTCAGGTCTAGGACTCTCCATCTGCCTCTACCTCTTAGCCTCTCTGGACTAACAGGAGGGAACCACATTACCAAATCTTCCACACTTATTATCATTTGTGTCCCAGAAGCATATATAGAAAGCACAATTTCAAAAGGCCAGCAGTCATCTCTCTCTTTTGCCTTTGTCTCCATACCTGATAGGGCACTGACCAGGAAGTAGGCTGTTGCAAAGAGCTTCTGGTTGCTGACCTCATCCTGAGGGCCAGGATGCTCACCCTGCACCGTGCACCCCACTAGCTGCAGAAAGGCAGTCAGGTCCTGAAGCTGAGGGGGCTTCAGCTCACCCATCACCAGTGTGGCCTGTGGGGACCAGAGGCCACCAAGCATGTCGTCACACTGTAGGGCAAGGGGAGAAGAGAAAAATGAAGGCTATGGTGAGGCCTCTGATCCTACACACACACTATGCTCTCCATCTTCTCCCAGGTAAAGCAAGGCACTGCACCCTTTTCTATGTTCTGAAGTTACTCATCCACAGGGTTAAATTTCCTCATAAAGAGACGGTAAGCTAAGCATTGATCAAGTACAGCATGGCTCTACAGAGGGGAAGAGCATGCAAGAATTGTTGGGTAGAACCTTCCAGACCAGGGCAATGTCTGTTAGGTTGTACCAGAGACCAGGAACAGATGCAGAACTGATGAAGGAATATAAAAGCATCACTCCTCATGGTCCTCAAAAATTAGCCCTCTAAACTTAGCATGTTCCCAGCTGGGCCCTGGGCAGCTTCATCCATCCCTGCAGGGCTAGCTGTGGGGTGGGTGGCCCTGCTGGGTGAACAGGTTCTGGTCATCCTGCTCCAGTAGTAGCTCCTGCATCCAGGTCCACTCCCCACCCACCATTTAGACAGCCTGCTCCAACAGGGCTGCTGATGCTTTCTCCACAGGGGACTGGCCTGACATTTTCCTCTTGGTAAGAGCTATTTTAGGAGGTAAAAGTCACAGGGTTTTTGAAACATTTGTGTGTTCCCTGGGCTGGGTTCTGCATCCTCTGGATGCAAAGGTGTCCAGGCTGTTGGACTATTCAAACAACTGCAGGCACTGTTACTGGTAACTAAGCTCTTTTAGCACAATCTAATTTCAAATTATTCTGAATGCTTTCCTGGAAACCACACAGCATTCATGAGGTTATTCCAGATCCCTACAGAATGTGAAAAGCAAAAAGACAAAAAGCAAAACTACAATACAGAGCCTTCTTTCGCACAAACATTTCAAGCGGATAGGGGTGGGCAACTTCTGGACCCCTCACTATCTGTACAACTAAACTTAAGGAGCTTGTTCTTCCCAGGAATCCTACTGTAAAACAGAAACACCCACTTTCTCTGTGCCAAATAGAATGGGTTGACTTGGGTTCCAATGTGTAACCGCCTTGTGAATAGGGACCCCCAAAAATATATGTTCACCTGCATTCTCACATTGGGACTTTGTCTGGAATAAGTATAGAGGTAAGTAAGGTGAGGACAAGATGAGATCACCCTAGATTAGGGTGGGCCCTAGACCCAGTGGTGGATGTCCTTAAAAGACACCATAAAGGAGAGGACACAGAGCCAAGTCCTGGTAGCTCACGCCTGAAATCCTAGCTACTCAGGAGGCGGAACTCAGGAGGATCACAGTTTGAAGCCAGCATAGGCAAATAGTTTGCGAGACCATACCTCGAAAAAAAAACCCTTTACCAAAAGGCTGGTGGAGTGGCTCAAGGTGTAGGCCCTGAGTTCAAACCTCAGTACCTCAAAAAAAAAAAAAAGAGAGACCCCAGAGAGAAAGAACATGTTAAGATAGAGGCTGAGATTGAAGTGATGCAGCCAACAGCCACCAGAAACTGCCAGACAGCAGGAAGAAGTCTTCCCTAGATCTTCCAGAGGGAATGGGACCCTGCCAACTCTTGGATTTCTGACTTCTGGCTTCCAGAACTGTAAAAGAATAAATTTCTGTTGTTTTAAGCTCCAACTTTTCAGTCATTTGTTGCAGCAGCCCTGGAAAACTCATGCATCCCTCTCTGCCTGACAATCTGCTACCTTTCTGCAGCTAGGAAACTAAAGATTTAGAACTAAGAAAACAGACAAGGTTTAGTGTTACGAGGTAGGAAAATTTAACCCAATTTCATTCTAACCCAAAGCCTTTGATAAGTGGTCTAGCCCAAGCACAGTTCCAGATGAAAATCCTGTCTGGAGATGTCCCCGTCTCACCACTTGCTCCAGGGCCACAAGGAATTCCTCATCGAACAGGACCACCTGCAGGAGGTGGTGCAAAGCCACCTGCTGCTGCTCAGACAGTTCCGTGAAGGGATGGAAATTCCTCTCCAGCAGGGTCACTGTGAAAACAGAGCAGACCCAGTGTTGTGGCTGCTGTGCGTGGCTGGCGATGCAGCAAAGCAAACACTTGCTTATACCTCATCTGTCCCTTTACAGATGTGTCCAGCTGCAGAGTCAGCCATGCAACTCAGAAATATAGTCCATCAAGTTAAACACTAGCCTGCAAAGTCCTACAAAGAGGGAAGGAGGAGAAAGACGGAAGCCCAGGTTTGTATTTCAGGCCTCATTTTTCTTTGATGGCTCACTAAGTATTAAGTCTGATCAATTATATCCTGGAAAAGTCATTTAGCCTCCTTTTCAGCACGATTCTGTTGAATCAGTTCTCACGGCTGAATTACCAAATGTAAGTCAGTACTTTTGTGATGCATCAGAGCCATACAAATTCCAAAACACATTCTTTTTCATGTCCTTTCTTGAAATACACTGCAGATTCTGTATCCATCATGTTTAATGCATATTCCAAAGGGGCTGACACTCACAACCATCCATCTTCCTTCCTCCCTCTCTCCCTCCCTCCCTCCCTCCCTCTCTCCCTCCCTCCTGCTCAAGATGAGCACAGAGTCTATCTGCAGTATGCCTGGCCACCCCACCCTTAGACTCTTTTCTTTTCTATTTTAAACACAGGCAAAAGCTTCTAGCAAATTAAGCCCAGTGGAAATTTGGCGGGAGGGGGGGGGATTTTTTTCTGTCTGCAACAGAAAGCCCCAGAGAGAAAGGGACTTAACTTCTATAATGTGACACATCCAGAAACACAGCTAGAGCTTTGCCAGCCCTGGCATAAAGAGAAGAGCTGTCCTGGTTAGTCTAGGATCCGAGGACACAAAGACCAGGCCAGTCCCCACCCTCCTCTTCCCGGGCACATCCCTAGTCAGTGGGAATGGCCAACTCACAGGGTGATCATGTGGAAAGGACACAGTGATGGCTGTGGCCTGTGGACTTCACTGCAGTGCAGCTCCAAGTTGTGGTACCACAAGGATGTCCTTCAAACGGCAGCTAACAGTCCCATTCAACTAACTCAAGGGGAGAGACAAGACTGTGCCTCCATTCCCAAGTGTTCCAATGCTGACATTTTGTGACAGAAACAACATCATCTTTAAAGTCCATCAAGGAGTCTCCTTACTTCCCAAGCCAGAGCATATTCTGAGCCATCCCTCACTCTCTGTCATAAGCTCTTGCCTAATTATTTATCCCCACCCATCTCTTTCCGCTCCCACACCCCACCAAAAAGAAACTAATTTTTAAAACACAACACACCATAGGGAGCAAAGAAAAGGTCTGCAGGCACTTAGGAGTCCGACCCCTCTTCCTCAGCACCATGTGACTTGGGCCACTGACAAAAAGCTTCCAAGAGCTTCCATTTTGCAATGCCAACAAAGCATTTCTTGCCTTGGCAGTGAAGCCTGGGATACAGTGAAACAGAGGCAAAATTTGGGATCTCTATTCCGCCTGCTGACTGGCTATTCTTAGCAGTCAGCAGCTGCCATGGCTACAACGAAGGAAACTGCCAGGCCCCTGACTGCTTCATCCCCAGTCTACCACCCCTACCCACCCAGGGTCCTCTCCCCAACCCTTTCCTCAAAGCTCAGAATGGAGATCCGGCCTTCCCCAAGATCCAACCAAGGGGAATCCTGCTGAGTGGACCAGGGTTAGAGTTGAGTGACTCTCTTTTCAAATGTCTATCATGAGTCATTAAGGACTGCGGCCTGATCCTGTAGGCCACATCACCTCTTGGAGTACAGGTTTCATTTGGCCACCAACTGGCCCATCCAACACCTCCCCCCACCCCTTTGCTGGCAGTACCTTGTTTTAAAATATGTAGCAGCCCATCCTTGGAAGATGTCTTGTGCTCACCACCATCCGGCACATCCATGAACGCAAAGTCTCGATAGGCCAGGGGGTCCGGGAAGACAAAATTGACTCTGCTTTCATGCTCAAAGCCACCATGCTTCTCTTGGAGGAGGCAGAACTCTGCAGTGTTGGGGGAAAAGACAAGCCAGGCACAGGGTCACCCTGGCCTGGGCACATTTTCTACCTGCCTTCAACCTAACCCTGTTAGGGAAGAAGACACACCACCTTCTTCCCATACAACTTCCTAACTTCATACTGCTTGACCCAAAACCTGGCCCCTCTCTACCTGTGCAAAAGCAATGGCTGTTCTGCACACCAAAGCTCTCTGGGGCACACTCTCTAAGAGACAGGAAGCCATCTTTCACATGCTGGGCATATTTTCCCATCCTGATGTCAACAAACAGCTCTAAACAGACAAGTAAAACCTACCATGTCCAAGTCAAACAACTGGAGAAATACAAACACTCATAATTTTAAAGAATTGTTTGGGGCAAGAGCAAGGCCCTGAGTTCAAACCCCAGTACCACCAAAAAGCTTGAATATTGGTGGGGATGAACGTAACCAGGTACATTGTAAGTATATATGGAAATGTCACAATGAAACCCCTGGTACAACTAATACATGCTAATAAAAATGTTTTTCTTAAAAAAGAAAAACAGTACATTTGGGTGCCCAGCAGTTATTACTTTTTTCAGGGGTTCTAACTTAAATTTTTCTTTATGAGTAAAGAGAATGATACATGCAATTTAAAAAGGATCTATTGATTTCTGCAATGATATGAACACGTCACAAACATGTAGAGTAAAAAAAGCCAGACACAGAAGAATACATCCTTCTGGGGTGCACTCTCTATTTACATACAGGGTGAATATATTTACATAAAGGCAAAACCACTCTTTTTTGAAATGCCTTAATGCTTAGAGGTATGGAGACATTTACAGATGAATCAGTGAAGTCCAGGACTTGCTTCAAACTATCACGTGGGAAAGGAGGGAGGTGGAGACATGGAGTCATGAAGTGTCCTGACTACTGAAGCTGTGCGGAGGGTACATGCTTGTTCACTATGTTATTAGCTCCACTTTTGAATATGTGTGAATTTCCCATAACAAAATGGTTTTTTTAATAAGAAAAAGACATGTTTCTTGGGACACTTCCAATGTTGAGAACTCAGTAAGACACCTGAGCTGTGGGTAAAAAGTGGCTATTAAGATGTTTTTTGCTAAGAAAAATGGTGAGCTCACAAATCCAGGTTCTCCCTGTGCCTCTGTGTCATAAATTTGGGCACCTAAGCAGAGACTAGAGAATAAAAATGTGACAGAGCCTGAAATCACATTTGGTTCTTGGCTGATGCCTCCATAACCAAAGTCAGATTGACATGGAGAAGTATTCATTTCCTACAAGTTTTACATTTCACAGGAAACCTTCATAAGGAAACAAAGACCTGAAGAATGTTATACCTGAGTAGTTTTGCTTTGCTTGTTTGTTTGACATTTAGGGTTTTTTTGGGACAGGCTCTGGCTATATAGTCCAGGCTGGCCTCCAATTCACAATCTTCCTGCCTTAGCCTCCAGAGTACTGGGATTACAGGTGTGCGAACATATGCCTGGCTCACCTGAGTTATTTTATTCTAGGTTTGATTATGAATGGAGTCATGGAGAAATAGGATAGGACAAAGAATATGGCTGACAGCGCTGCAGCAAGACGTGTGTTCATATTTCTCTCTGTGTCTGTGTTCTTGGGGATGCGGAACTTCTTCCAGCAGAAACAGGGCACCTCCCCTGTAAGGTCTGCAACCTGCATCAGGGGAGGTCAGAAAATCCTTCCTAAGTTTTGTCTCCTGCTTCACAGGGAAAAGTCCGAGTGACCTTCCTGCTTCTGGCAATTCTTCAAATTCCTTCACTTTAGAATCCTTGGGGGTCTCTTGTGCTAAACCCCATCACAGTGAGCAGATTTCATGGGCGTGGCCTAAACCAGGCAGAGTACAGACAGCCCTGGGCAGGAGGAGCAACCAGCGCAAAGACAAGGGGAGGGCACGTGTTTCCAGGTGGTGGGCTAACTTTGGATGATGAGAGGGAAGGCTGGGGACACATTTTGAGGCAGACTTGGTCCTTGGAACAGAGGAGGAGGGGAGTGAAATGACCAGACTTTCAAACAGTCACATTAGCGACAGTGCTGGGATGGAGCAGGGGAGCTGCCGGGAGTGCTGGTGGGAAGCAGGAAGGGCCGGAGTCACCAGTGGTCTGGAGAGACGTGCACACGGGACACGGGATTGAAGGCTCGCACTGGAAGGGCGCGCGAATGCCACTGTGCAAAAGCGCAGGGCGGAAGCTCACGCTAAGGGCGTTTCTGGTTAGCCTAAATCGCGCCAAGGGGAGCTGCGCTGGGAGGACCGGGTCGCACTGCCGCGGTGTGGCTGGGGCAAGGCTCGGATTTCACGTTTCAAAGGACAGCAGGGTCACTGTCCACGGGGCTGAGCAGCAAGCACCCCCTTGAGGCTTCTCAAGGGTCCTCTGGCCCCTGCAGGTTTGTTTCCAAGGCTGAATTGGAAGATTCTGTGGCAAAATTCTATGCACAGATGGGCAAGAAATGGAAAAAATAACAACAAAAAAACCCCACGGAGCTTGTTTGCAATCGGGAACCCAATGAGTCACACTAAGCAAGGCATGACGCTGAGGGAAAAGGCCTGTAGGAAATGAGCCAAAGGGTGGCAGGCTATCCCCAGGGAACCTCTTCTCAGCACACAATGAGTTTATTTTCACAGATACTGAAGCCACCAAAGATAAAAGATTTGAAACTGAAATGCAAGCAGGAGAGCCAGGCCACACAAGGCTGTGTGTCCTTCAAACACTCTTCTAAGAAGAAAGAAGTCCTTCTGGGAGTGACAAACCACCCCAAGAGAGCTGTAGGCAGGACAGGAAGGAGCTCTCTGCCTGTCCTCAGAGTGCTCACGGGTTTCCTTTGGTATAGACTAAAATTTCAAACATATGGAAAAAGATGATGACAGGTAGTGATACTGCTGTTAGCAAGACTTGGAATCAACCTAATTGCCCAATGGATGAAGAAAATGTGGCACATCTCCATAAAGAAATACTATTCGGCCATTAAAAAAGAATGAAATCCTGTCACCTATCATTTGAGACAAGAATGAACCTAGAGGACAAGCTGAGTGAAATAAGCCAGACACAGAAAGGCAAATGCCACATTACCTCGCTTCGGTGGGAAATCTAAAAAGTGCTGTTATCACCAAAGAACAGGACAGTAGGACTGGGGGCGTGGCCTCGGCACAGATGGAGGCTACACTTAGCAATAAGGTGTGTATTTCAAAAAGCTAGAGGGAGTTTTGAATGTTCTCACCATAAAGAAATGATAAATAGGTATGTACCCATGTTGATTTGGGCCATATACCATGTGTACGTATATTGAAACATCAAATTGCATACCAGAAATAAGTACAACTAAAAAAATAGTTTACTTGAAGTTTGCTGAAAGCTTGGGTCTTCAGTGTTCACACACACACACATCTTAATTATGTGAAGTGACCTATGAGTTAATAAGCTTGATTGTGATAATCGCTTCATAATGTATATGTGATCTCAAATCAGCACACTGTCCACCTTGCATATTTACAATTTTTATTTGTCAATTATACCTTAAGAGAGCAGGAAGACAGTGATGTGGTGGCCTGCCAGCCACCAATCCAGCTGAACAGGACCCCAAGGCACCTGTGTTGGGCTGAACCACACAGGTGCGTGTGCGACACTGCTGATCACATGTAGATGCAGGAACGATCTACCCATGATCACAAGGCATTTTGTTTGGAAGCGAGTCTTTCAAAGAAAGAATTACATAATAATAATAATAGTATTAATGATAATAATTAATAATGCCACACATCAGCAACAATCTACCCAGAGGATGTAGGTGGTACTTCCTGGGGTTCTTGAACTGCAGCTGTTCCTAACCCCCTACCTCTCTAGACCAGTTTCTTAAAACTGACATCTTCTGTTTATGTCACTTCAGGCAATCACTTCCACTTCCCAAAACGTGGCTGCTTGTGCTGAAAATCAGTGAGGGAGGCTGGATGGTTTCCTTCTATGTCCTACAGATGCTCGAATGCCCATGAGTGTCCCGTGTCACATTGGGTACTTTGCTCTGTGTCCCTGTCTTCATAGCATGGGGGCCATGTGCATGTGAAAGCCACCTTGTGGAAGACTCACTCATCTGTAACCTGCTTCACTGGAACAAGGAGGGAAGAGCAGGAGACAGCAAGAGACATGTGCGTGGTCCATCAGGGCACACGTCACAACTCTTCTACTATAGAGAATGCCAACGTGCACAGAAAAGAGAGAGAAGTATAATAAATGTTCCTGCTGACCAGCTGAAGCAACTGTCACTCCCAGCCATACCACCCTTCTGTGCATATGTCCACTCCAGGCCACACACACTCCACTCACACCATTTCACCTATGAAATTTCAGTATAAACTTCTAAAATATAACTTTATAAACATAATATGATAATCATACCTAAAAAGGTCAACAATTTATTATACATTTACTCATTCGGGTTCCCAAGAAACAATTGGAGGGGCTGGCAGAGTGGCTCAAGTGGTAGCATACCTGCCTAGCAAGCATGAGGCCCTGAGTTCAAATCCCAGTACTGCTAAAAAAAAAAAAAAGTCCAAGAAACAGTTGGGAGACTTTTCTTGGGCTCAACACAACCTCTTCTCATTGGGAACAAGAGGCAAGCAGACTTGAGCCTGTTCAGGTGAGCAGACATTAGCAAAACAGAAGCCCTTATTTGCTTGGAATGACAATGACATGCTCATGACAGGCAGAGGAAGGTCAGGTTCCCTTTGGCTTCCTAATGGGGAAGGAAGGTAGGATAACAGCAGTGAGGATGGTATTATTAATAGCTAAGATGGGACAATTAATAAGTGACCACTGTGCTGGGCACTTCCCAGGCCTTGTCTAGCTTAATCCCTACCCGAGCCTGTCAGGGAATGTCTTTCCCTTTCCAAGGTGGGGCGCGAAAGCTCTACCAGGTTCAGCAGCCCCACAGAAGGTCATGGTGCTGGGGGTGACACCCAGCTGTCTGATTGCAGAGCCCATGTGCTCACCCCTGCCCTGCTGACATCTCCACACTGACGTCTTGGGAAGAGGCAGGCACTGCTCCTGGGTGTCCCTCCCCAACACTCTCCACCTCCCACCCCAAGGGCTGCCCACTCTCCATGGCCCAGGTCATGGGCCACTCCTAAATTCTTCTGCTATCTGCTGTCTCATCCCTCTCACCCTATGGCCGCTAAGCAGAAGGGTCTTCTGCTTGTGTGTGCCTTAGGAGAATGTGGGGTCTCTCAGCAAGGAGCACTCACCAAACTGCCCATCCTGTTTCACGTATAACTCGATGATGCCGTAGGCGATGGTAGTGGCAGCTGGGATCTCCAACACCACGCTAGAGTCCTGGATGACATTCCCATTCTCCATCGCTGACACCTGTGGGAAAAGCACCCTGCACCCTGCACTCAGACTCTCCCTGGCTCCTTTTCCCCTTCCCACTATATCCAGCCTCCTGCCTTGTACCTAAGGATGCTGGGAAAATGTCCATGGAGTTGAGTGGGAAAGAGAAACCAGCAGCGGCAAGGATTTTAAACCTTGATGGCGTCACGATGCATTACACATACTCCTCAGGCAGAGGCCAGACTGGTGTCAGAAGAGTAAGACTCCACAGTACAGCAAGGCTAGATCTTTGGTAATTCAGGCACCACATAACTACATTTCAGTCAGCAATAGACTATATGTCACATTGTATCAGTGGAACCAGAGAACTCCTATCACCTGGTGACATCAGCGCTATTGTAACATCGTAGCACAGTGCATTGCTCACACGTTTGTGGTGATGCTGGTGCAAATGCACACCGCACTGGCAGAAGTATAAAAGTATAGTGTGTATAATTATGCACAGAATGCTTGATAATGATAAGTATACTGACTGTGTTACTGGTTTACAGGTTTACTATACTTTTTATCGATATTTTAGAGTACACTTTTTTTTAAATGTCTTCTTTTTTTGTGATCCTCCTGCCTCATCCTCCCGAGTTCTGGGATTATCAGGTATGAGTTACTACACTGGCTGTACTCCTTCTTCCTTAAGACAAAGAAGCACTGCAAAACCATATGCTGTGTTAGGGCAGCAGCAGCCTCATACATCTCAGGTTTACCTCGTCTCTTGATTGCATCAAGAAAGCCACGTTGAGTGATCCATCACTTAGGTCTGTGTAAGGTTAGGCACTCTGTGACATTTTCCTACCAATGAAATCACCTACGATGTCTTTCTCAGAATGTAATTAAGCAATACCTGCTTAAATATGACAAATAAGAACAGTTCCCAATTCTTTTCATCGAGGGTTATGAAAATAACTTTGATATCCTAATGAAAATCCAAACGGGGCAAAGCTTGGCTGGGAGAACCAGACTGAGTTGCTCACACTCCTGTGGATGAGACTCCATGCTGCTAAAAACAGGGAGAGGCAGTAGGGAGAGGCTGGAGAAGAAGCAGGGCCTATAAAAAGCTGGGCAGGAAAGGCTGGGAAATCAGGCAGAAAAGCTCTGGCCTTCAAAGACTTGCAAATATGAGCTTTGCCACAGTCTATTTGTTGGCCAGACACTGGATACCAGATAACTTTTTTGAGCAACTTGATTCTAGTCAGAGTGTATTGCTGTAGGTCAAGAAATGGCAGCTGGGCTCCTGACTCCCTAGGGCCCCTGGACTTGGATAGGTGGTGACCATAAGCAAAAGTGTCAGCAGGGCCAGCCTAAGCCATCTCCCATTGGACACCTCTCTCCCCATCGCTGTTCAGCCATCCATCCATCCCATTCCCAAAGAGTCCCAGCTCCAGACTGATATCTGTACCTCCTTCCCAACACAGTCATGAAGGGTCCTCTACAAAAGCTAAAAGGAACCGAAAAAGTACATCTCTAAGAAAACACCAGAAAACACAGCAAGCTGGATGGGAAGCAGTTTGGGGTTGATGGAGCTTTCTTCCTACTCTAGTACCAGCTCAGCTTTGTAAGACTGTAGTCTGGTCTGCAAGAAGAAAGATAGGTGATTGATAGATAGATAGACTGACAGACAGAAAGACAGCTTGATCTTTATTTGCCCTAACTCAAACAACAAAGGATTTGGGGCACCTAACACCAAAGTAATCATTTTGAGAACTCTGGCTCCAAGGTGCTCTACAGATTCCCTGCTATCTGGTCCTACTCGTGCCCATTTAATCTACTTCCCATTGAGGGTGCATCACACTGTCCTGAGGGAAAGCACATGACCCAGGCCTGCCTGGCCAGTCAGAGTGTCCTGTTGCCAGGTCCTGGGTCTGCTTTAGGTTTAGATGTGACTCAATGGTCTGGTGAAATTCAGCCCTAGAATTACAGCAGATCTAAAGAAAGCCTGAAGCTGGCAGCACCACAAGGAGTCAGGCCCTTTTGAGAGACAGGGACCACAACATCCGAGAGCCCTGGATCCATCAGTGACTGAAACCAGGTTGCCTCAAACGTTTCAGTTACATAAGCCAGTAAATTCTTGTGCTCACATAAGCCAGTCTGAGTTGTGTGTGTGTTTGCTTACTACAGAAAGAATTCTTTCTAGTGAAAATACCACCCATAGAAGCCCCTGACCAAGGACTCCCTGGCCAGGCCCAGCCCAGCTACTATGGCCCTGACCCCACCGGGCCCGGATGGACACACCTGCACGATCTTGGTTTGAATCCCCACCATGCCACCACACTTCTCCTCGATCTGAACGTGCTCAGATATCACACACTTCTGTGTGGTCACGATCTTCTGCGTCAGCACACACAAGACCTCATTCCTCCTCTCCAGCACCTGCTGCAGCAAGGGGCCCTTCAGATTTATCCTCCTGAAAAAGAAAAATGGCCATGAGCGGCCTAGTGCCTCAAGGGAGGTCAACACAGGGCAAATGCTCTCCTGTCACACAGCTGGTGGCTGAAGACAGATGACAAGTGACTTAGTTGATTTCCTGGTGAAAAGAGGGGGCAGGTTACCCAGAAAGGCATCACTAAACTCTCCTGAGGCCTCTTCAGATCAGCTCTAAGAGGACAGGCTGGACACCAAAGGGACACTCACAGTCAAATAGCAGTGCTAGGTTCAAGGAGGAAGACAAGAAAACCACCCCACAGGCAACCGCAGTCCATCTGCCTTGGACCCTGGGGAGCGGAGGCAAAATTCATCACAGGTGGCCTAGGAAATACAGCATCATTGGGGAAGGGAGGACACTGGTGACCTGCAACCTCTCACAGAGAGAGGTACAGGCTGTAATACAACTAGTGAGGAGGAATTAGATTTGAACTAAAAGGGAGCTTCCAGCCTGACTGTGAGACAAATAAAACCTCTCAGAGGTTTTCCAACATTGTACAGATGGAGACACGGAGGCCAGCCTGGTATGGATGGCTATGGCAAACAAGCAGAGACCTTGGGGATCTCCCCCTACACACACACACACACACACACACACACACACACACACACACACACACAGCCACTTAAAATTCTGTAGCGGTTACAGTTGCATCTACAGGAAATGATATCATGCTTAGGAGAAAATGAGGAAATAAGCTCCCTGGAGACCTATGTCTATAAAGTAAGCAGGAGAACAGAATCAGAGCTGGTGTCAACAGAAGAAGAATTATAGGCTCATTCTGGGCTTCTGAAGCAGTTCAAGTTAGTCACATGCAAAGCTCAGAACCCCGTCCTAATTCCACACTGGGCAGGGATTAAGCACACTCGGCCTTTCCAGTCCTCAGAAAGGACCCCTAGCTGGAAGAAGTAACTAGAAAGGACCCATCTTGACATAATAAATAACCTTCCCAAGGTGGAAACATGACCCACAGGTGAACAAACATACAAACAGTGACATACCCACGTAAGAGGGCATGCAGTTCCCACATATGCTACCACATGGACAATATGCTAAGTGACTTAAGCCATGTATAAAAGGACAAGTACTGTGTGGTATCATGTATATGAGATAGCTGGAACAGGCAAATGCACAGTGATAGAAGACTGGAGATTAGCAGGGGCCAGGGAGAGGGAGGATGGGGAGTAACAAATTGCTTAATGGCTAGAGTTCTTGTTTGAGGTAGTGAAAAAGCGCTAGGGCTGGATTGTGGTGCACAGTCGTGTGAACGTGCCTAATGCCATTGACTTACATGCTTAGTAATGCTTACCATGGCAAATTTTATGCTATGTTTATCTTACCACAATAAAAAACGAAAGCCATACCAAAAATGTGGTCAATTTTAGTAGTAGTCAAAGAAAGGCACATTTAACAACCTTTCCTTCCCTTCATATATATTTTTTCATAAAATTATTGAATTATTTTCATAAAATATATGAAATATATATATGTATATCACAATATAAATGTGTATTGGTCAGGGGCACACCTGTAATCCCAACACTCTGGAGGCTAAAGTAGGAGAATCTTGAGGCTACCCTGGACTTAAGGAGAACTTGTCTCAAAAAAAAAAAAATGATCCTAACAACAAAATTGCTGCCCAAGGGCTCTATTTCCAGGAAGGAATATAGCACAGATAGCTGGGAGTGGCCCTCACACTCCTACACTGAATCACATCACCTCTGCAGCTTGGTTTCTCATGGATTACCAGTGGTAAGCTGCCTGCCTTGCAGGGTTGTCTCAGGCTGTAGATGAAAAGCTAGAAAATGTCCAGCAGAAGTGCCACATAAGTGCTCCAGCCAGGTTCCCACATTCCCCATGAGGCCCACGGAACAAAGCCACCGTGTTTGCACTTCATGGGGGATTGTGGACCAGTTAACTGGGTGAGAGATACACATTCACATCACTCCTTTGCTTAAGAGCCTTCCATGGCTACACCTGTCACAATTACTCACCCAGGCTACATGGCCTCTACAATCTAGCCCCTGCCAACCTTGGCTTCAGACTTATCCTGCCTCAAATATGCCAGATGCGTGCCCAGCCAAGGCCTTGGCACATTTCCCTGACTGCCACACCTCACCAACACATCCCTCACCTCCTTGGGGAGGTGTTCCCCATGCACCCTGCATAAAGCAGCACCCCTTATGTTTCTGACTCATTGCTTGCCTCCTCAGTCTAGAGTAAACTCCACAGATGTGACCATTGTGCCCTCTTGTGTACTGCTATCTCCGGGATGGATCAGTAGCCAGTGCACAGGAAGAGCTAAGTAATTATTTTTAGAACAAATAAAATCCTGTCTCTACCCTCTTTTTCTATTTGTTTTAATGAATGTGTAGTATGTGTGTGCATCCATGTGTGAAAGACAGACAGCACATGGAAGATGAAGAAAAAGGAGAATGGATCCCCAGGTTACCTTAGCAAATAGTAGGTAGGTAGATCTCTTCCCTTTTTCAGCCATTGCTGAAGTACCTATGGCCAATATGACATTCAGTCCCTTTGTGATTTTTGATCACAGCAGGAGCTATAAAAGACATTTTATGGTTCCTTCCCACATTTGCAGGAACATCACATCTCCCCTTCTTTCCAAAAGGCTAAGACAGATGTTCAATACTTCATCCATGCCCATCCAAAAGGATCATGAAGTTCAGGTTGTATGAGGACAAGCTGGCAAAGTAGCCTGGATGTACCAGCAGAAATACATCCTCTGAACAGGTACAGGGCATTCAGTGGCAGGGTGGGTATCACTGGAATAAAACTGGACGGAGGCTAAAAACATCCTTAAACAGAAAGCGAAATTTTGCCAAGTAAGAAAAGAAAATTTAAGGAAGAAATAGAGAAGATGTAGGAAAAAGTAATATTATACAACCTTCATTAAAAATGATAAAAATGTAAAGGAACATGTATTTCAAGGAGAGTAAGTGGTCCCAATGCCCATCAACACCTACATTTGCCAGTAGGAACTAGGGAAGGTCTTCTTCCCTGCCCACACTTCTGAGTCTGCACTTAATTGTGCAAAAGCCTCAGCATCAGCCACACTTGTCCTTGGGGACCAGAAGAAGATTACCTCCATGTTCTGCAGCTCCAGGCCAATAGGCTTTATCTCTATCTGAGCTAGCTGCACACCTAGGGACACCTACATGACTGCAGATATGAAAGGCACAAGCCCCAGCATCACTCCTGCTCAACTCAAGAGACCTAGGAAGGTCTCCCCCAAATTGAATGGGGCACTGGTACCAATATCACCAGCACAAGTGTTCCTTGCACATGTCCCAGCAGACCTAGAAAACATCTCCACTGTAATCCATGGATACCTGACAATAAGTACTGGGGGCAGAAGCTCTTGTCCCCTGGGACCTGGAGAAGGCACCATCTGTGTCCCACAGCTCCATGAAAATAGCTAAGAGCAATACAAACTCCAACACTAACTGCAATCTCCCCCACAGTACCTAGGAAAGATCCCCTTTGTGTTCCAAAACCTCGTCTGAATTTACCAGAGCAACAGAACTCAGCACTACCTGTGCTCATCCCAAGGGTCTTGGGAAAGTTCTCATCCCAGTGTGTGCCTACAGACTGTGGCTGCTGGTGCACCAAACCCAGATATCATTTATATTCATCCTGAGTCACATTCTGTGACTCAGAGATCATGACCACTACCCTTGGTATCACTTGAGCTTGCCATGAGGGACCTGGGGACAGTCCTAGCTACATCACCCACCACTAAGACTGTGGCAGCCACCACTATAGCCCCAGTGCCATTAGGGCTTGACTTGGTGGCATCACATACCTTTCGAAGCCCATATCCGCTACAAAGTCATAGAACTACCTTCATAAACTACTGTGATCTAGACTATTGCACTCAGACACTGCTGACATAAAGATGAAGAAATCACACAATCCCTATAACTAAACCCAAAACATGTATCCAACTGAGGTCTTCTATCCCATCAAAACAACAATAAAAAGCTATTTATTTCATAAAATTAGAAGAAGAAAATATTGTCTATGATGATGTGCAGACAACATAAGAACACAAGAAAACAAAAGGAAACATGACACCTCCAAAGAAGAACAATTCTCCAGAAATAGATCTCAGATTAAAGAAACTCTATTAAATGCCTAAAATAAATTTTTAAATAATGATCCAAAGGAAATGAAAGAGACTGCAGATAAACAAAACAAAGAAATAAGAAAAAAAAATCAGATCCTGGAGCCAAAACTTCAACCAATGAATACACACACACACACACACACACACACATACACACACACTAGAGAGCTTCCACAACAGACTAAAAAGGAATTTTAAAGAATGAGGAAAACTGCTGTTAGAGTGGCTCAAGTGGTACAGCGCCTGCCTAGCAAGTGTGAAGCCCTGAGTTTAAGCCCCAGTGCCTTCAAGAAAAAAAAAAAAAGAATGAAGCAAACTTACAGACTTGTGGGACACCATTAAGCAAGCAATCAAATTTTCACATTATAGGAAATACAGAAGGTGAAGAAAAGGAAAAGGCTCTGGATACCCATTTCACTAAATAAGTACCAAAGCCTTCCTAAAACTTCAGAGATATGGACAACCAGATACAAGGAGCTTAAACTAGACTCAACTAGACTCAATCAAAACAGACCTTCAAAACGTCAAAGAGGATCCTGGAAACACCAAGAAAAAGGTGTCAAGTCATACAGGAGGGAATGCCCTTACAGAACATTTCTCAGCAGAAATCTTAAAGGCCAAAAGAGAAAAAAATGGGACATGTTGAAAGAAACATACATTAAAAGAAAAAAATTGCCAATCAAGAACATTATACCCAACGAAATTATCCTTCAAGACTGAAGCTCAAGCGGTAGAGCACTTGCTTAGCAAGCACAAGGTCCTAAGTTCACCCTCCAGTACTAGGGGTGGGGGAGGGAGGAGGGAAGCACACTGAAGAAAAAATGGTCTTTCTCCA